CAGGGATATGTTTATAATGGATTCCTCGCTTTAATTCTTAAGCCACCATCACCAGAATAATGCCATAGGTCATAAACAATCAAGACTATGTTTAAAGAATGCTGAAGCTATCGCAGCAAAGCGGTGCTTTCGGAACAATAATGCTTTACCAGCATTAAGCTAGCGTGCTTCGTCTCCTGTGATAAATTGTAATCAGAAAATTATATTCGAGGCCACTCGAATTTTTTTCGGTATCGTCGTGTGTACTTACAGTAAAGCGTGAACGAGTTTCGTAGTTTGCTGTTCTTGTCCAGCGATCTTTTTCTTGTGGATTATGCAGCAATAAAGGCAGCTAAAGACTTGCATATCTTGTATGATTTATGGATACCAATATATATAAGGCATGTTTCACTCAGAAAATGAAGGAGTCATATTGTCAAATTTGTGACAGACACGATTAGACAGCGGACGTAGCTATAATACATTCATTTGCCTGGTCAAATTGCACCAATTGATGGCCACACGAGGCCAAAAATTCTGTCGCTATTTAACCAACGTCTCTGAGTGTTGGATTGAAGCCCACACATGCAAACTTGATTGGACAAACTCGAGTGATCGTGGAAAAATGTGAAACTGAGCATCGATTGTTTATAATTTTAATCGGCACTGATGAAAACATAATTCGCGCATTACGCAAGTCCGAATTCATTAAGATACACTATTAAAATGATATTCGAGACCCTGAAATGGATGCAGAAAGATAAATGAAAGGCGCTCAATTCAGCGAACAACATTTTTCTCGCAAAAATGAAAACTTTTCTTTCTTGTGAGCATTCCTTTCTTCAGCTCTCTAATTACGGCATAAATAAGAACTCAGGAAAAAAGATAAGGTTATAATAAAAATGCATAAATAAATTATCGGAAGCAGCGCAGATATTTTTAAATAATAGAGATAGAAATTTGTGATCAAATTTCCATCCACAGTAACGATTCTAGTAAAAATTGCATACGTTGAGGGTAGTCTCGCAAGAAACTCACGAAATCAAAACAAAATGCACACTAGACGGAAGAGGAAGGGAAATTTTATCGGAGGCATAGCCATGAAATCGTCTTTTACAATCAAACGCTTGCAATTTGCCAGTGTAAATATTGAGCATTTGATGTGCGCATGGCGGTAGACTTTACGATAGTCACGACCGAGCCGAAACTGAATTGATTTCATGCCTCAGAATATTTATGGGCAAAATCATAAAAGAACGTAAAGGGAGAGACGTGGCTTCTACTTTGCATTGATGCAACACAACTGGCGTTCTCGATGCAAATCGTCGTCAAATGACGTACCGCGGCCAATTTCAAGAGAAACGAGTAAACATCGCAAAGAATGCGTCGCTAGCAAGAATACAATTTTTTGAGTTATTAAGTGATACCCTAGAGAATTATGTCCAAGGAACCTGGGCGAAGAAAAACATCCTAACAATCGAATGTCGGTTTCTTTCACACGCCTCTCACGCTAAAACTGGGTGTAAGTTTTGACTTTTTTACGTATCGGAACAAAATGCTGAACCTCATGGAAAGCAGAAAAAAAAATCAACCATAATAATTTTCCGTCGGAGGCTAATTCCGTACAAAAATTCTACCGTGCAAGGTAACTTAGAATGACGGGTAACATGCAATGGAAAAAATTAGCAACTGCTCGTCGAAATTATTGATTACTCTAATAACTTTAATTAAATGGAGCATAAAAATATTTATTTCTTCAATACATTCTACAGGTTCAAGAGATAAATATATTCATTCAACATTGAGCAAATTTTAACTCCAGGTGCAGTAAAAGTATTTCCTTTTTATGTAACATCAAAGCTAAGGATCAGCGCGAAAATTCCTTGCCGGAAACCACAGACATACAAATATTTGTCGCTGCTGTCATTCTAAACAGGGATTATGGTCAAGCTTTCCTGCAAGCAATAATACTGAATATGGAACCTGGATAAATAAACTTAGTATTGCTTATACTCAGGGGAAGCAAAGCGTTTATTAGTCACTGCAACGTTCCTCCGAAATATTACAACAGTCACTTAAGACTTCAGTGCTACAACTGTTATTTGTTGATGAAGCTTTGACCCTGATACGCCTACAGAAACCATTTGTTGCCATTCTACTAAACCTGCAGTCACAACCGTTACTAGTGGTAGTGACGCTAAACCAGCTTAGTAGTCCAAACGTATATCGTTGCCCTACCAGGTATCTCGATCGGAATGAAATAACGTGTATAAATTGTTGTTTCAACAAATCAAACTAGTACGTACTCAACCTGATTTTTGTGTCATTTGCCAAGAGTGGGTGGCAGTAAGAATAATTTTTGATGGTTGGTAAAGTATTTCAGCCGCCACATCAGAATATTAAACGCGAAGTAAATCATTTGTAGTTTTAGTAAACCAGAAGCCGGGTAAGCCGGGTCAAGGAAGGAGCCGTGGGAGGCGACAGGGAGCCGCGGTACGTACGAAGGCGCCGCTTGTTGCACGTCGGCTCAGGCAGGGATTGCGGTTGACTGCCTCTAGGATTAGCGCTAGTATTGCCCTGCCTGTCTGCCCTGCCTGCCCTGCCTGCCCTGCCTGCCCTGCCTGCCCTGCCTGCCCTGCCTGCCCTGCCTGCCCTGCCTGCCCTGCTCTGCCTGAACTACAACGTTTTCTTTCGTCATTTACGAGACACTAAGGATGGGCACTCTCCTAGCAGCTGTTTTTGTAAAATAACTTGCGAAATTGCAATTCTTCAAATCTGCACATTGTAAATAATTATTAACTCAAAATTTGCCCAGTTGACCTCAGAAAGTAATTTACATGAAATATTATTTGCTACATTTTACCCAATAGGAGCGAACGAAATAGAAATAAACGCTAGCTTTCAATCTCGATGGAGGTTTTCTCGAACACTTTCAATTGTAGTGCCAAGTGCCGGAAAAATGACACAAAATTACTCGCGCAAAATATATCATCTGAGAAGAATCTCTTCAGAAGCGAACGTGAACAGACTTACAAATTCAGACGCACTCACCCTATGTGAAGTGCGATAGGCTAATATTAAAATAAAATTCCTGATATTAGAGGTTTTTTAACCTCGTAGGAATCCACAGTAGGATTTTGTTCGTGATTTTCGAAAATCCATCAACACTCACCCTTAATTTGAGAGACGTATGAGAAAATTGAGCCCTCACCGTAGGGGTCTGGAGGTATACTCAGTGATCAGTCGACTGCCGCTCACCTGCAAAAGAAATCTCAATATTAGCCTGGGCAGTCAATCACCTGTAATGCAATTATCACGGCTGATTGGCCTCAATTTCAATCAAGCCGGACGAGAAAATCTGCGGAGAGAAGAGAAGTTCCCCAGGCCCCGTCCGTAAATGTGCGCCTTGCTAATCAATGCAGACAAGCTGCATTTGAATGATGCCTGGAGAGAGGAGGGGAGCGCTGCAGTAGATTGCTGCAAATTATTGAAGGCTAGTCGGTGCTGGGGATTTGTGTACGCTAAAAGGGGTCTTTAAATCAAATTTCATGAAATCCTGTGGATGAAAGATAGACAAGGGATTGCACTCTACGTTGAAATACAATCAAAATTACGATTTGTAACTCGGGTTTAGGGCCAAGAAAAATTAAAGAAAATTTAATATTACCATGGTATTCATTGCATCAAAAATTATCAATATCCTAGAATTACACCCAGAAAGCGTTTAAGTAACGAATAATGACCGCATCTGAAGCTGATTTGAATTATAGTAGGAATTTGTACAAGTGGGGATTTATGATTACGCGGCACTTGTGTTTTCAAAGAAATAAATACACATACAAATTTTTCATTTTTCAAATTAAGCGAACGATAATGGTATTATAAAATATAAACTGTGCAATCACCAGCAATGTAAATCTAATGGGAAAGTGTAACTCAATTTTGCGTCAGAATATTAGAAAAATTCTTATGAATTCTGAACTCCAATATTTTAGGAACAAATGCATGATGGGTAATTTAATCTCAACATTCCACAGGATATCAAGCGCTGTGGGAAGCCGACGCACAACAGCCTGACATGCAATTTTATGACAGCAAACATGCCAATGAATGTGCAGGCAACATATCCATCACGGACATTTTTAGGAGAATACCCGTGTTCCCCGTCATTTTTAATGGCTGTCTGAAAATGGTCAAAATTAAAGTTTGCTGTGCACCAGAGTAGCGAGTAGCGATCAGAGGTCAGCCAGGACTAAATGCCAATGGAATTGTTGAACGCTAAAAACAACTTGGAGTTGAGCAGCAATTTGCGAGACCCTTGTAAAAATTATCTGTACATGAAGGCCAACCGGTCATAGTGGTCATGGATTGAACAGTTGCAATCCACAAGCGCAATCTACCTACGAGGATTCAGAGGATCCCTGTTAGGCGAAGCCAACAAACAATATTTTATTAAATGCAGAACAAACACAAAAACTCAGATTTCAATAAACTTTGTTAATTAGTTCGCATAGTTTTCGTTTGTGAGCGGCGAGGAACGTGCATGCAGCAGCAAATAGCCGATAATTATTACAAAAGTATGAACAATAATTCATACCTAGTCACTCAATAATTTTTTTATAATTAAAATCGTCTGCACAAGATCACGGTAAAAAATTAAATTTTCTTGATATTGTAATTATCAACTTCAGTTATTTTAAAGACTTTAAATTCGGATTCCCTCCACATCAAACTTCAAATGCACAAAATCATAAATAAACTTCAAATTAAAAGAGATGATCAGCTTTACATTCTCAAATTACATTTGAATCATTAACAACACGTGGATATTTCCCATAATTGCCCTTATTGATTTAAATTGCAGTAAGAATTGCCCATAAAAGTCGGCAGCCTGAACCCGTGGGGCTTGGGGTCACGGGTGGCCCCGTGGGGCTTGGCGTCACGGGTGACCCCGTGGGGCTGGGGGTCACGGGTGGCCCCGTGGGGCTGGGGGTCACGGGTGGCCCCGTGGGGCTTGGGGGTCACGGGTGACCCCGTGGGGCTTGGATCACGGGTGACCCCGTGGGGCTTGAGGTCACTGATGACCCCGTGGGGCTTGGGGTCACGGGTGGCCCCGTGGGGCTTGGGTTCACGGGTGGCCCCGTGGGGCTTGGGGCACGGGTGACCCTGTGGGGCTTGGGGTCACGGATGACCCCGTGGGGCTTGGGGTCACGGGTGACCCCGTGGGGCTTGGGGTCACGGGTGACCCCGTGGGGCTTGGGGTCACGGATGACCCCGTGGGGCTTGGGGTCACGGGTGACCCCGTGGGGCTTGGGGTCACGGATGACCTCGTGGGGCTTGGGGTCACGTGTGGCCAAGTGAGGCTTGGGGTCACGGGTGGCCCAGTGGGGCTGGGGGTCACGGGTGACCCCGTGGGGCTTGCGGCCACAGCCACAGGAGCCACAAATGAAGCGCAAGGGTAGCCCTCACGCCACAATTGGCTCGGCTTATGGAGAGGGCGAATTTTTTTTATGGTCAGGGAGTGTTTTTATGGGCGCTTCACTTTTTATGGTCATCTGGACTGGCTGCTGAACACGACTGCTCTTCCTTTGATGACCTCCTCGGTCTCATGATAAAATACTTCCTCGAACTTTTCTCGACACCAACTTAAAGCCTCTGCTGCTGAACCGATTCTTGTAGCAGTAAATGATATCGCGGTTATAAAAGGCACCTCTTACAATATTTAATGCATTGCGCAAAGAATATTTCTTATTTAATTTTTTGTTCATGGCAAAACAGTGAAAAGAAGTGTGTTGATGTATTAAAAGTTATGGATTTCAAACTTTCACTATTTTTTCGCTGATGAGCTCAACACTGAAGCTATAACGTCATGCAGCCTGGCTGTTCTAACGATTTTAATAGCTTGTTGTTCCACCGGTCAAAACAGCTTGTTGTTCTACCTGTAACAACAGCATAGCGGTTATGAAAATGTTATAGCTTGGGAACCGTTAAATAGAATGCCTTCTTTATTGTTTGTAGGGTTACAACAGTGAGATACGGTTTGAAACTCATTTTTTGGCAACTTAAATGCAAAGTTAATGCAAAATTTATTGTGCATGGAGCTTTAAAAGAGACAGGTGGTTAAACATTTAGAAGTATAGGCAAATATTCGGTAAGTCAGTAACTATTACTTCAAATCAAAAGGTTATAAAAGAATCGTTTATTAGTTCGTGATCTTTTGGATGAGTAAAATTTGCTGATGAAAGAATTGACTGGGTTTTATTTAATTTACTTGCAACTTTGCAAACGGCTTTAACCAGAGGCATTGCTATAACGACGTACTATGAAGTAACTTAACAACTACAAAAGCTGATAGACGATGGTGCCCGCAGTAGAAAAGCTGTACATGTGATACTGATCATGCGTACCAGATGAAATGTAACGCTAATTACAACAGCAAAACTTTAATCCCGTTTAAAATAGAAGAGCTTAAATGATCAAAACAGCGAGCTTAAGTGATGGTCACAACATGAGAGCTTCAATAGTGATCACAACAACGGCAATGAACGGCTGCCGCCACCGGCATATCGCGCTTTCTTTTGAGCCGGCAAATTTAATTATGTAAATGAGAGAGGCGGTCGGAAGCAATCAAGCAAGGCGTCGTCCAGATTCCTCAGGCGCCTCCTTATGGAGAGCGAGCAACAGCAGCAACTCAGCCGTCAATCTCAGCCCCGTTGCCGGCATGACGGCCAGTCAACTCCCACGCACCCAGTCAATCTCAGCCCTGTTGCCGGCATGACGGCCAGTCAACTCCAACGCACCCAGTCAATCTCAGCCCCGTTGCCGGCGCAATAACCACTCAGCTCCCGGCGCACAGTAATGGAGCTTCAATAGTTTTCTTGCACTACTTGGTACATCAAAATAAATTATTACCAAACGACCGGAACTATTCGTGACTTCGATCTAAAGTGACCGGAACCGCCTACCAGTATCTTATCATTATAAAAAAATAGGTATCTGCAAAAGATACGCAACGGTCCACACAACAATACCATTCAGCAACAGCTAGTGTCTGAAACAAGTTGCAAACTGGTCTAACGAATCTGCTACACTATTGCACTAATACAAATATATATTTGGTTTAGTGCAATATTGTAACAGATGCAAGAGTGTAACAGGTGTAATAGCGTAGCAGTTGTAACAGTTGTATCGTTGTATCTGTGACGCGAAGATCGGGGGCTTAAGTGCCAACTAAACGCGCTAGATACTTAAATTTGTCGTCACCGAAATCAGTAATGATCGATATATGAGTAGCTGACCCCATCGTACACGAAGCGTAAGTGGATATACAAATTTATCACGAAGTCACGAAGTTCTACGTGACCTGATTAGATAACGCGTCTGAATGCTCCTAGTTAATGGTAGAGAAGTTCCTAATTAAGTGTCGATCGCAACGAACCATGTGACGATCGCTCGTTCACATGACTTCACTTTACCGAGTCAGGTTCATAGTTTAATGCAGTGTTCAAATGGCACGTGTGAAGACCTCGCTCAGACTTTGCACCAGTCGATGCTATCGAAGCTTGAATGTTCATGCCTACACTCAACGAAATTAGGGGATATTGTCTAAATAACGATTCCCTTGTGTGAAAGTGCAGAAAGTGTGTCACTATTTGTACAACATGACCCGCTTATTTTTCATGTTTTATTAAAGAATTCAGAGTCTCCCATCCATCTACAATGTAAGGAATAAACTTGTACAATGTATGGAAAGGCAAAGCGTGCCACTGTCAGAAATTACCAAATCTACAATTTAATTATCCCAAAGATTTACAATAGCAAAATTGAACGTAATTATCTCTGTACAATGTATCGCAACTAACAATTTCAGATTTCGAAAGCTGAGTTATGCCAAACCGATTAATTAAGCCGCTGATATATGCTTAAAGTCACCTAATTAACAAGCACAAAAATCAAAACGTGAAGAGTGGCCATGAGTCGTTAGTTATTTGGCAATATTTCCTTTCGGATTATAAGTGTATAAAATCCCTAATATTGTGCAGCTAAAATGAGAAATTTAATAGCGTTGGTATCTGACTAGTAGAAACTTCTCTGGGTAAGTGGTTAACAAATAAAATGTTAGTATTCGGCGCCAACGTTAAACTCTGCTGCCGAATTATTTTGTTGCTTGTTATACTTAAGCCCTTCCAAGAACAGGAAAATCAATCAGGGCCCATCAACAGCACCGCTTTACTCCAAGGCTAAGCTCCATGCAAGAAATCTCAGGGTAATTTGCACCAAAATATTCTCCCACATAAACTACTCATGCCTATATAGCACAGGCATTATCACTATCGAAGACAAAAGTATGTCGCAGGCCTACTTCAGGGCTAAGCAAATGAAAGTTTTTAATTTAAAATTACTTGACACAAATATAATCTGAATTTATTACCTCAAAAATTATTTTCGCATCCATAAATAGCAATGCCAGACACGCTTACCGTCATGCTCGCATGTCAAAGCCACTTTCTCTTACCCTCTTTGTTCAGTTCGTCAACCTAATAGCTTCCTCTAGTCATCCAGTCACTATCGCATAACTTACCTCGTACGCTCTAAACCTTCACAAGCAATTTTGAGTCATCTCGTCAACCCATTTTGGGTCATCCCGTCAACCCTTTTCCGTCATCTCGTCAACCCTTTTTCGTCATTTCGTCAACCAATTTTTCGTAATTTCGCGAACCCATTTTTCATCATTTCGTCAAGCCATTTTTCATCGTTTCGTCAACCCTTTTTCTTAATTTCGTCAACCTATTTTTGTCATCTCGTCAACCCTTTTTCGAAATTTCGTCAACACTTTTTCGTCATTTCGTCAACCCTTTTTCGTCATTTCGCCATCCTTTTTTCGTCATTTCGTCAACCCTTTTTCGTTATCTCGTCAACCCTTTTTCATCACCTAGTTAGCTCTTTTCAGTCATTTCGTCAACCTGTTTTCGTCATTTCGTCAACCCTTTTTCGTCATCTCGGAAATCCTTTTTCGTCATTTCGTCAACCAATTTTTTGTCATTTCGCAAACCCATTTTTCATTCTTTCGTCAACCCATTTTTCATCGCTTCGTCAACCCATGTTTCATCATTTCGTCAACCTTTTTTCGTCATTTCGTCAAACCTTTTTTCGTCATTTCGTCAAACCATTTTTCGCAGTTTCGTCAACCCATTTTTCGTCATCACGTCAACCCTTTTTCGTCATTTCGTCAACCCTTTTCGTTTTCTCGTCAACCCTTTTCCATCTCCTAGTCAACTCTTTTTAGTCAGTTCATCAATCTTTTTTCGTCATTTCGTTAACCCTTTTTCGTCATTTCGTCAACCCATTTTTCGTCATCTGATCAACCTTTCGTCATCTCGTCAACCCTTTTTGGTCAACTAAGCTTATTAGCTCGCCCTCAACTAGTCAACCAAGTTCGTAAGCTTTTCGTCATCTAATTTTGTCAGCTCTTCGTCATCTAGTCAACCAATTTTGTCAGCTTTTCGTCATCTAGTCAACCAATTTTGCCAGCTCTTCGTCATCTAGTCAACCAATTTTGTCAGCTCTTCGTCATCTAGTCAACCAATTTTGTAAGCTCTTCGTCGTCTAGTCGACCAATTTTGTCAGCTCTTCGTCATCTAGTCAACCAATTTTGTCAGCTCTTAGTCATCTAGTCAACCAATTTTGTCAGCTCTTCGTCATCTAGTCAACCAATTTTGTCAGCTCTTCGTCATCTAGTCAACTAATTTAGTCAACTCTTCGTCATCTATTCAACCAATTTTGTCAGCTCTTCGTCATCCCACTCGTCACCTTCCTCGACCACCGCTGAAGTCGTCAGGCAGGCTGTTCTTATCGCTAATTTATGGTGGCCCTCACTCGGTCCAGGAAGACTGGCAATATTAATGAGGTTTAATGCAGAGCTCCGTTCATTTATCAAGGCAATAAATGCAGCGCAGCCGAGGATGCAAGTTGAGACGCCGAGCCGGTGTTGCTGAGCGCTGTTCTTCGAGCTCCTCGTGTGCGTGCAAAGTTAGGCGCGTGACATCAATGGCTAATGCATTAGTTGCTATCGCCGCTGTTACTATTAACGCGTAGCGCCTCTCACTCTTAATACTCCTAATTAAGCCTTAGGATTAGACGGGAAAAATGATAAGACTCCATTGTTACTCAAGGAAAACGAAATGTTTATAACGTACCCAAATCCTTTAATTTGCCTGCATTGAGTTTCTTTCCTTGATGTAATATAGAAGATTTTACTAAATTGCTAACAGTTGCAGAAGAAATAAAAGAGAAATAATAGTTTGAGGTTTGAGATAAGCTATCGCTGATAATATTAAATCTTAAGGGAATCGAAACAATACGGCTATCAAAGCGCACAAGGAGAGTCAACAAATTGCTTACATTAAAATGTTTATGGCTACAACGCACATCCCTCGCTCTCAGAACGAAAATTTATGCCGCTCCACCATATGAACAATCAATTAACCAATTTTAAAGCTCATTTTTGAACTATCGAAACTGCAGTTTTTCCATCTAAAAACTACTCGTCGATGCTCTTGTAGAAAAAATTCTATAAAAGCTCGCGAATAAAGAACCAAGTCTTCCTCATTTTATCAGAGGGTGCATGGCGCGTAAAGATTAATGAATGCGCTGGCGTATTTTCCATACTCAGGACACAGGGATGCGAACGCGATACTGAAATTAATTCGTCAGTCGTGATGAATTGTTCAGGGTAAATCTGTCAGACGAGATTGCCTAGCAAAATATAGCTTCATTACTCGCCGCGATAAAATGCGCTTTTATTTGGACATAATATCCTGCAGAACTAAACGAGCCGAGCTCGCGCCTCATTTTCGCTCGCGTGCGATACACGAGAATAACGATGCATAGGAATTTTAACGAAATAATCATAATGTTTGGTATCATGAAGTTTTCCATCTATAGCCGTTTTTACCCAAACAAGCATTAAGCAAGTTAAGCCCTACTAAGGACTAGAGCAAGCAAGCTCGCTTTAAATCACAATATAGGCTCGTTATCAGTGAGCAACGTAGTTTTCAAGATCGATTCCTCAATTGATCTTTGCACTTGAAACTAAACGCCTATCGTAGATGTGCGTAAGAATTACGTTAAAATATAGCCTTCAACAGTAGTTAGAGACAATTCCATCAAGAATAATAATGATTTTTTTCTCTTAAATGCATATTCATCTAACAACATCTACAAAAATCACACGAAACATTTCATTACAATTCATCACAACCTCAATATTAGTCGAATTTTGCATCTGGCGTCGCCAATGAATAGC